TTTGGAAAAATTTGGTTCTGATAGAGATAGGTTACATGACTTACCCTGATCACACAGCTAGATCGAATACTGCAGGGTCTGAAACTAGCTCCATATCACTGACTCTCAAAGGACAAAGACTGGGTTGGGCCAACCCTGGGCTATGGCCACGAAAAGCCTCTTAGGGAACAGTTACGTGGTTAGGTACTAATCATGAAGGCAGGGCAGGGACTAGTCAGAGGAAGGGCCGGGAGACTCCTACCCTCCTAAACTTCAAAATAATTTTCCTCACTAATTTGTCTTTTTTACAGATGGCCCTCTATATGTACATATTTAAAAAAATCAAAAAGTGTATTAAAATATCCACATTATTTTTTAAAAAACCCATACCTACAGATCCCATTAGAACATTGGTTTTAGTGGAACTTTCCTACACACACAAACACACACACACACAGACATGATGAGACGATAAGAAGATGGAAGCAAACTCATTTCTGAAACTTATAGGATTTAAAAGACATTTTCTCCGCCTCCATTTTCTGGTGTTTGTTCTCTCAGTAGCTTTTGATTTATAGCTATTCATAGTATCTATTTATTAATTTACACTCTACTCAATTCCAAAAAGATGTGAGGTGCTATCACATATAGTACCTAAAATATATGGATAATTGAAATCTGTAATTAATTTTTAAAAAGTCATATAACTGAACAAGCACTGTTCTGGAAGCCGAGAGGTCTGAGTTCCAGTTCTAGTTCCTTATTCAACATCAGAGTACACATTGAATTTAAGCTTTTATTTGCTCATTTGTTAAATAATGTTACCTAGACAATTGCTAATTATAAAATTCTGTGGAACTGTGTATTTCTAGGTCAGCATTTCACAAAACTTTTTCTGAGGCATGCATAGGTCTTTTGAGTGGAGGTGAGGTTTTGGGGTAGATAAGCATTGGGATTTTGTTTATTGGCTACTTTATAGACTTCTGCACCCTTTCTTCTATACTAGCATAACCAATCCTATTTGTCCAAAGATGGAGAATGAACAAATTTAAATAACATCTAGAACTTAAGCGCTCAATACGTGTTATTTATTAACTAGAATCGAGCATCCATTGAAACCCTAATACATGCTCAGAAGAACCGTGGGGTTTCACAGAGAAGACTTAGAAAATTCTCGAACTAGATGATTCTTAAGTCCAAATAGATCACGTGAATATGATTCTTTCCAGTTTTGCCTGGTATTTTGGTTACCACAGCTCATCATTTAAACGAACTCTCGGGCCAGCAATCTCTGTACTACATGGTAACATGCTTTGGCCGATTTCAGAGTCACAGAATCTTAAAGTGTGAAAGTGATTTGCTACTTAGGGCTGAGTCAGGGCTCAGTCATTCAGCACAACATTAGAAAATCCACTAGAAAATAAATGATAAGAAATAATTTAGATGAATGAGGTTGGAATCATGTGGTTGCCCACTTGATTTAAAACTCATCTTACAAATGAAAAATATATACCCCATTAGCTTATAGGGTATGAGACTATGAACCCCTTTATGTCAGTAGATGTCTGCTGTTCATCTTTGTAACCCTTGTTAGATGAAGAATTAAGAAATAATACTTATTGTATGCTTACTGTACTGTTTTAAAGATTTGGACAAGGCTTCATGAACAAGGTCATATTTGAGCTTGAACTTAAAAGGTGCATATGAGTTCACCAAATAAGAGACAAAGGAGTAAGCCAGGTAGAGAGAACAGTATCGGCAAAGGCACAGATATCTGAAGGTAGTAAATTTGGAATGGCGAGTGGTTCACAGTGGCTGCAGGTTAAGGTGACTGTGAAAGAGTGGCCAGCAATAAAGGTGGGCAGAGAGGAAGTAGCTGCATCACGAAGGGCCTGGGAATATGAATATGCATGTGTAAGTATTATATCCTGGAAGATAAAGAAAGAATGGGAGGGGTCCACCTCTGTATGTATTATATGGAGAAGGTGGTTGTTGGTTTTTAACAGAATATTGTTGATGGTTATCTTGTGTAGGAAAAAAATATAAATATTATACTGAACATTGAGTATCTTTTGATATCAGACACCAGAAAAACATAAATTTTGGGTGCTCAACATGATGTAACCACAAAAGTCTCTTGATTTCTAATATTTGTTGAATTGTGTCTGCTTAATTAAGCAAAGCAACGTGAGCCAATGAGGATTAAATTTGCTATTTTCTTAAGAAAATGGCCTTCAGAGTGAGAAAACCAGTAAAAATTAAGCCCTATTTCTGTTGTACCAGGTTGGGTGAATGAGCTGTGAAAAGTACAGCCAGTTCCAATGGCCTACAGGAGCTGACTGGGGAAGGGAGATGAAGGGTGAGAGTTCAATGGCTGGCCTATCACAAGCACCCTGTTAGGAGGAACTGCTGGGGCACAAGTGGTACAAAACTCCTCTCACTGCCCCTCCCATTCTTCACCTAAGCAGGCTTTCAGGGTGGACCAGACAGCATGGCCAGGTCCCACTCCCAGCAGTGCCACGAATACCGCCTCTACTGCCAACCACATCTCTCCATCTAGAGGTGCATAGCCTATGGCCACATCCTGCCCCGGAGCCAGCAAGGAAACAGAATGGGTAGAGACCAAATCTGGCTGTGTTGCTTCCTTCTTTAACTTCTCTATCTGAAAAATCTGACGAGTACGTTTTTTCTTTGCTTTTTAAGTTCCAGAAATGCAAAGTACTCAAATTGCTAGAACCATGAAGGTGGGTAAGGGATGATTTTTTACATCATTCATCCTTGCCCACATTTCTCCTGCTGATTCAGAGGAACCATCTGCATCAGCTTGCTAACGAGTTTGGATATGGTTCTCAGGGTGATGGGAAGCCAGTGAAGGTCGTTAAGCAGGGGAGTTATATTATATAATCAGATTTGTGATTTAGAAAGGCAGCTCTGGCAACAGCAGGGACTGGAGAAAGCAGACATTGTAAACAAAGAGGTCAGTCTGAGGCCTCTGCAATAGTCTAATTGATGGCAAAGCTCTGACCTGCTGTGGTGGCTGTGGATGAGGAAGCTGAAGAGCTGACAGAGTGGGGGAGGTAGAAGGAAGCGGTGGATCTGGAGGTGATGCCAAGGTTTCAGGCCAAATGGTTGGAATGCAATGTTTCCCACCTAAAAGTGAGCTAGTCTCATCATTTAATCTGGTACTAAGTGAAATGAGATTGTACACCAAGGAGTTTAGTATTTTCAGGATTTTGGCATATATTCTCAAAGTAAACCCCAAAACAGTTATATTAGTTGGCCGTTTTAGGAACTGCATATCAGAGGCAGCACAGCAAAATGGTTCCTCACACTGCAGCCAGCAAGAGTTCAAATTCTGGCTCTGCCAACTAATAGCTTTGTGATTTCTGCTGAGTTACTAAACTTCTCTGTGCCCATTCCTCAACTCTGAAAAGATAAAAATAATAAAAGCTGACTAAGTATGATGAGGCTTAAATTAGTTATTATGAGTAAGGGATTTATTTGGTATGTACTCATGTAATAAATATTGTTTTCTCTGACTTATCAAAAATCATTATGGAAGAAGTAAAACGTCCACTTTCAAAGAAGGGGAATCTCAGCTGATTTTTTTTTCTTGCATTCAATATTATGTTGTTCCAATATTACAACAAAAAAGCTGATGAAAACAAACTTTTTTCCCTGAGAACACTCATAAGAGAGAGGTGAAAACAAATTCTCCGGCACAGAAGTACTCTGAGGTTCAGTCATTTGAAGACCACGGTGCTTGCTTATAAATAGAATATTAAAACAAGCAAGAGCAATTTTCTTCTTTCGTCTTCCCTTATTGCCTAATTTTCCTCTCATACCATTTGCATAATGGATAAAAAGGCATCCATTATGCAAATGAATGATGGGGCTGTAAGGTTGCTGAAGCCACAAGGCTGGCTTCAGATGAAGAGAAGCTGCCACAAAGCCCTCCAGCAGCCACGTGCCAGCAGACTGTTTCACCAGCTTGGTTCCAAAAGACAGAGGAAAACCCACGAAGACTATAGGTCATTAACTTCCATTTGGTTTATTTTAAAAGGGCCCCTACAGATACTTTTCTGAAAATCAGTACAAAATATGGATTGTCAGCATTAGAGTATGTACGTTTAACTTTACAGTATATATTTTAAATGGAAAAATGAGTACTATGTACAATTCTAACCATTTTAAGCATATGTTTTGCTTTAAAAGGAGAAGAAGCTGACCTTTGCAAAGTGGAATAAGCCTCTGTTCTTCTAGCTTGAGATTTCCCTCATAACAGGTGCTCTAAGCAGTCTCCAAATGTTGCACAAACATTCCACAGGCATAAAAAGTTGTTTGAAATACCAAGATATTAGTGGATTTTCAAAAACTTCATGCTGTTAAATTGAGCTAAATTTATCTTTAGGAGGTATCACCAAAACAGACATGTTATTTCTCTTGGAGTTGTAAACTGATTGAAACTTTAGAATAATATTTACTTTCTCATTCTACAAATACAATGAAAAATAATTCTAAGCAAAATTACTGGATGAATTGTCTTGTCTGAATAAATAACCAGAAAAGAATTTCAAAACTAACTTCAAAACATTTCCCCCAGATTCTTAGATTATAGCCCAGGGAGAAAAAGATGGAGGCTAAGAAAATAAAGTGACCTTTATTTCTAGCATGGATTCTTTGACAAACTTTGGCTTTTCCCAAATGACTTTTTTTCAGGAACTTTTAAAAAAAGTTATACTCATATGATATAGGCACACTTCAACATTTAGCATCTGACTCCCCCATGTTACTTCAAGGGCATACAATTCTGATTCACCTTCAGTTAAAGAAAAAGCTGCATCCACTTACCTAAGCAACAGTGGCTGCAAAGAGCTATGTACAAAAATAATTTAAAGAAAAGATAAACCACAATATAAAAATATTAACAGGATAAAAGTCACAAAGAAGAAACAACACCTAATCAACAAGATGATGAATCTTCAATCGGGTGAAAATAATACCATAAACATTACACATACCTAGTTTTAGAGCAGAAGGGGTTACTTCAATCTCCCCACCAATTGGTTTAAATGCAGCCAGTTGGGAAGCCACTTCTGTCTCAAAAGCATCTGGGCTCTGCCGTTCTGCAGGGTTTCCACTGGGGCTCTCAATCTTGTGGAGTGGTTCTTGTTCTTCAAACACAGCAATCAGCTACAAACAAATCCAACAACACTAATTAGTTTGTAGGACATGCATACCACACGGACACTATCTAGCTGAATGAGATCTTTATTTGGTTTCAAAGAAAATCGCCTCATCAAACTTAAAACGTTAATGTTACTATACCACAACTCTTAATTTTTCAATAATATTATGTCTATAAGCACTATGGTCAAGAAATAATACTGGTTTATTCATTTGTTTATTTTGTCTATTACTGAAAAAGAGAACCAATTTTGGCTCACTCTCTTAAAGGAATGAAATGGCTGCTTCCCCTTCCCACTACCCCACCTTCCCTAACATGCCTAAAAGGACTTCATTGTCTCTTTATTAAAGAGTGCTTCCAAAAATGCAAGTTGAATATGCGTTGAATAGACTTAAATAGTATAGGGAGAGTATTCCAGTCTCAGAGACCTAAAACACATTACAAGATCCCTAGTTGCATCTGTCCCTGTAGATACACTCTACATACATATATACATACATACATCGTGTGTCTACTTACATACAATTTGTGCTTATCTTGTTTAAATAGGTTTCCCATTTTTGTACATGTCTTTAATTTTGTTCTTTTCCTTCATGATTTACTCTGTGTTGACTGGTTTAAGTCCAATGGAATGCTAAGTCCAATACAACTCAACATCATTACTTTTAATTTAATTATATGTCAATTTTATTTTACGTGAGAAGTATGCTTTTCACCGTTAATATAAAAACTCTTAATTGTCCATTTCCAAGTCATTTTTTTCATTGAAATAAGGACAAGATATCTTTAAAAATTCAAGTAATCACACAGACACTACTGTATAGGCAGTGAGGACAGCTCTGCGGAAACTGCACTTTTGGCCAACAGACAGCACCAACATTCAGAAACTTCATGGGTTTCTCATCAGCTGATGTAGAAAAGTCCAAATGTGAGTACACGAGGCAGCTCAAGGACGCTACTGTCATTCCAAAAAGTGCAATGTATGTAAATGTAAAAACCGGTTGTACATCTTTAGATATTTTCTGTTCATTAAGTAAAATAAACCTACTTATGATTCAAGCATTTATTCAGGAAAGACACTCAAAGCCCCATTCATAGGGGAACACTGTTGGCGATAGTAATAATAACAGAAGTGCAGGGTTAACCAATCAAAACATCATAAATTTCAAGTTCGGTCTTTCAAAAGAAATGAATACAATTAGGGATATGCAAATTGGCCATTCAAAAATAATTTTCATAATTGACTACTCATTTCCAGTATGGAGACTTCTTTAATTGGAAAATCCAACAATCCTCTTGCCACAGAAAAGAAATGCTACTCCCAAGGCATTATTTTTAATTCTTGAAATTGAGCACATGCATTTTCTATTTGCAACTGGCAGCACTGATGAACTTATTTGAGATAAGACTTAAACAGATTAATAATGAAAGATTATTCTAGTATAAAAAGAATCAGTGGAACTATATCTTTCTCATCATCCAGCCAGAATGAGTTTAACACTTTAAATCTTGAAAAGGAAAATGAAATCAGTTTATTAATGTGGTGGATGTGTGATTTTCATCACTATTTCTGTTATATAATAACTTCAATTTTGTGTATTCATGAATTCTGACACATATTAGCAATGTTCATTTTAACATTTAACATACCTATCAATTAGGCAATGGCATATCATATTGGTACTATGAACAGCTTAGTGTAAGTTAAGAGTTTTATCTTACTCTTCTTTCATATGACATCCGTAACTCAGTATAACCCTCATGTACCTTAAATATTGGAAAAATAAGAAAAAATAGAAAACATCAACTAGAAGTATAATACAAAAACTTAAAAATGATAACTCATAAAATATTGTTTTCTTAAGATACTTTACTGTTTTCCACACATTTTATCCACACAAGTATACAGTGTATGCAGTAAGAATATTATACCTATTTATCAAATGGTAGAACACAGTAGCTCTGAAATTTTGTTTCCGAAGGTCACTGACTAAATGGTAGCTGGTAGTGGAATCTAGTCTTTTTAATTTTCAATCCAGAGAAAGTATTTTCCTCTACTGTAGCTGTTTTCCAAAAAGAAAACTGTAAAAAGAGAGGCTACACTGAAGAATGTCTGTAATTTCTCCATAAGGGTGTTATGCCCTAAAGAATGTGAACTCCACTTTTTGGAGACACAGGCAATACATCACTTTTCTTGAAGATTATAATAGCAAGACCTGATGCTCCCCAAATCTCATAAGCTCTTTGATTAAAATCAATTGCTTAGACTGTTTCCCAGTTAGCACCTAGTTATCCTGAATGGATGAAAAAGTCTCTACTCCTGGAAGAAGAGGACCAGCTGCTGATCTGTCACAGCTCTCATGGGTTGCTTGCTGAACAGACTCTCTGCATCCAGTGTTCATCTCAACATCTACAATATACACAGACTTACATTTGTTTCAACATTGATAATTGGTTTGAATCATATGTTGCGGGTCCTTGTTAAATAGATTATTTCAGTCATCTGAACACCTACATTCCTGGGTAGCAGACTCCTCAGAAGACAGTGTTACAGAGACTCGTTAATTAACATAAACCACTCTTCTAGTCCCTCAACAGAAGGCATGCTGGTTTTTAAAGAATCCTCTGCGTGGAAATAGCCTTCCCTCCTTGCCTTTATACCCATTCAAAGTTATCTTTCCCACAGAGATGCGTTAAACGTGAAAGAGGGAATTCTATTTAAAAAGCTTTTGTGTTAAGGTTTCACTTAAACTTGTATGGCATGTGGGAGAACTTTCACTGACACGTCAGGGGCTGCAGTAACCTACACCCTACACAAAGTGCAAACCAGCAATGTTGGATTGGATGATTCCTCTGCTGCCTTCTCTCTCCTTCTGGTCTGCCCTCCAGTCTCCTTCTATGATGCCAGTGTCCTTGTGCCACCCACTGCAGTGCTGGCATTTCCAGGAGACCCCATAATCCAAAATGATCTGTTCACACAATCTTTACTTCCAGTCAAAACTCCTATTCCCGCAAGACCTCTGTCAGTATTTAAGCATCTAATCCCTAGATAGACACAGGAAGGTCAGTCTATGAATATGCTACAAGTTCTCCCACCAAACAAACCAATGACCTTCTCAGGATCCACTTACCACAGGTCCCATCCCATGTTTTGCCTCCCCTCTGAAGCAAAAATTTGAAAGAGCTGTCTACACAGCAGTTTCCAATATCTCTCCTCCTATTCTCTAATGAAGCCACTCTAGTCAGGCCCTCACCCCTCAACTCCACTGAAACTGTTCTTATCAAGATCAAAAACAGTCTCTAGATTCCTAAATCTAAAGGGGCTTCTCTGGTTTCACTTCAGGACACAGGTGGTCACTGCCTTCTCAAAGTACTTTCTGCACTTGGATTCCAGAGTACCAGTCTCTTGGTTTACCCTTATTTCTCTGGGTCCTCCATCAAGTTTTCTTTTGTTTTTTCTTCTTCATCTTCTGGATTTGGTCTCCAAAAATGTTGAAGAGCATATGTCTAAATTTGTTTAGTGATGTCATCTGTTTCACGGGTTAATATAACTCTATAGGCTGATAAATTCAAAATTTTAAGTGGTGCAACCCAGCCCTTCTGTAACTCCAGGCTCATTTCCTAATCCAATGAGTCAAAAATGGAAAAAGTGACCTTCCAAAGCTCTTTCCACAGTTCTTTACATCCCAATTAATGGTAATTCATCCTTCTAAGTTGCTCAGGTCAAACACCTTGCAGCAATCCTTCAACTCTCTCTCCCTCCCCTCTTCTCTGTCTCTCATACACTCGATTTGACCACTTCTCACGACCTCCACTGTCACCAATTTGGACCCAGCTACTATGTGTTTCTTAACAGCCTCCTGACTAGTCGCCTTGTTTCTACCCACTGCCTCTTCCCCCTGCGCGCAACACAGCAGCCAGACCGACCTTGCTAGCAGGAATTGGATCATGTGTCTCCTCTGAGGAGACTCCTGTAATACCCACCTCACTTGAAGAAAAGTCTAAGTCTCTGCAATGGCCCATATGATCACTTGCTCTTATTTCTGACCACGTGTTCTACTGATCCCACCCCTTGTTTTCAGTATTCCATCCAGCTGCCCAGCTGCACTATTGTCTTTACGCCTGCCTCAGGGTCCTTGCATTTTCTGTTCTCTCTGCCACAAACAGTCTTCCACCAGACACCTGCAAGGCTTGTTCCTCGATCTTTCAGATCTTTAATCAAATGTCAGGCTTTCTGTGGCTACACTAAATTGCAGCATCTTCATTACTCCCTGTATTCCCCTCCTTTGTTTTACTTTATATCATGTGTATCATCCTGTCAGCACCACGGCTCTTCTTATTTTATCGCTGGTCTCCGCACCTCACTAGAATGTAAGCTCCATGAGAACCCTGAGTTTGTTATTGATTGTGTATCCCCATTGGCTCGAAGAGTGAATATGCTATCATAGGTGCTCGATATATATTTGCTGAAAAAAATCAGTGAAATATGAGGGAAAACAGATACTAAAATCTAATAGAGCCACAAAAGATACCTAGATTTTTTCATGTGTTTATAGAACATTCAATTTTTTTAATTAAATGAATGTGTATAAATGATCCATGTTTAATCTTAAGATGCTTGGGGTATCATCATCATCATTATTGTTGGTTTGGCTTTGGAAATTACGGCAGATAAATTCCTCCTTTTTTATTCAACACTGGGGGAAATTGCTTCTGCCCCATCATACTCCAAAAATGGAGATTATCTATCTTCTCTTTCCTTTTCAGGCTCACTTTCAAAAGGGGGAGTCAGCCCATTTGGTCACTGGATGAAGCAGGATGCAGGCTGAATGGAGAGGTGGTGGGGTTCACAATCTGTCCCAGGCACTCCCTCACCCAGCTATCTGCCAATACACCACTTTGATTTATCTATTGTGAGGCTTTTTAAAAGTGTCCCTTAAAGTAGCTTAAGCACAAATGTGAATAAAACTCCAGAGCAAGTGGAGACGCAGCCTGAAGAGGTATG